TCGAGGACGCTCCACGCGCCAGCGTGACGACGCGCCGGCCGACCGACCGACCGTTTCCTTTCTAAACAGAAGGAAAGGAGAGCGTGGCTGACCAGGGCCTTACAGCCACGCCTAGGGGAAAAAAACACGGGGCCCGCTGGCGGGCTCTTCGCGCACTGGCAACTGCTCCACAACTCTTTTCTCACAGTACCTGCGTTGCCCGCCCCTCTTAAGTCATCTTCCTTCAGCTTCAATGTCGCAGCTACAATCTCTCTAGAGTGAACTCTAAAGCAGAAAAATATGCGGCACTAGCTCAGCAACACACAACCACGCACAGCATAAAAAGATAGGGATGGTATGACCTGCAAGTAGGTCCAGCTGGCTGCACACGGTAACTTGTGGATTGGCAGTGGATGCCGAATGCGCGTTCTGATCACTCTGTTGAAGCTTTGCAGATTGCACAGGCAAGGTATATACGTCTTGGAAACAGAACTGCGCACTCGGAAATTGGAGAAATGCCAAGCATTTCGATAAACACCTGAGTCTTCAGTCATCTTCATCGTCGCGTCCTCGTTTTAGGACTGCAGAGGCCGGACGGATTACGCCCACTTCGCACCAAGCTACCTCATTGGCTCCAGGGCTGCCGAGTTGGCTTAATCGCGCAAGTGGGGGAGGGGGGTCTTGACCAACCTGGACATCGCTCCTCACCCTGCCTGACACCGTGCATGCTAAAAATATTGGTGCAGTTTGCTTCTGCAGCTGGTTCAGACACAACCAGTTGCAAATGCCATATGTTATGTTGCCATGCTTTCAACATGTCATGTGTGTGTGCACTTCAAATCCTCCGCCTCCTTTGCATCACGCTCCGATTCTGTGGCAACAGCTTGCAGCAACGCAGGTTTGCTTTCTGGACCAGGGCCACGGTCGCCCAGCAGAGAATGTACATCATGCGTTTGCCAAAACCCTTTCCGGCCTGGCCCCGTGACCAAGGCGACGCCGCCATACCACGATTTGGTTTCGAAATGTTTCGAAGCACGCCAGCACCTCCACACACCCAGAACAATCTGCGTGATCGAAAACATCAAGTTCGTCCGGCCCACTTCAAGGCTACTTCGTGGCTGAAATCGCGGGCCCTCCCTTGAATGCAAGCCGTAAGACTGAAGGCTCAAAAGTTCTGTTTACGACCGCTGCATCATTGGTGCCAGGGATTGACGTGATTGAGGCTTGATTCAAGCTAGCCTCAGCGACCAGCATCCCAAAAAATGCCTCCACAACTCTCTACCAGGTCGGGGGATCGGCCACACCTCTGCTAAGCTCTCGGGTCCTTAATCACGGGTAGGCATTTTAGACAGAGTCGCAATGTAGAATTGTGCGCACATCCACTAATCCACCCTGGAGTCCTGGAGAAGGCAATGACGAGAACACGAGAACCCTTCCCACGCTAATCCCACGCTTGCCCAGGTGTACTTTCATCTGGTTTGCCGCCGTGGGCCGGCACAGCATGAAAGCTCGCAACAAAACACCTGGAGCCTTCAAACAGCGCTAGCAAAAGCATTCCCCCGCATGTAAGTTCATGCAGCTTTTGATTCCATAATGTGGCAGGCCATACCTGCATTGTTTTACAGATTCCCTCTATCGGCGGAATCCAATCGCGGAACTTTGCGAAGTGAAGAAACACACCATTCCGAAAGAGGTGAGACCCAAACCAACCTCTCCACAGAAATTTGTAGTCTTGGGAATGAGGAGACACGAGGCAGCGCCAGTTCCTAACACTGCTATGCTGGACGTTCAATGGCGCATGATGCTCACAAACCTCGTCTTGTAACACAACAACAGACCGCGCATTTCTTTCGCTGCGCGTCAGAAATCAGGAGCTTGCTGCACTGAGCAGGCCACCGCGTCAGGAGAACAAACAAGCAGCGCGCTGTTTGGAACATTGAGACTGGTGCTAGTTTGTGAGCTGACTACAGCACCATCATCAGCGCGGAGATTTTATGTGAACGGCTGCTGCAGATGCAAGCAGGGAGTTCATGCATCACTGTTACGACTAGCGCATAGTGCGGGAAGCTGTGGACCTGCAATCCTCAAGTGAACCCATGCGGTTTAGTGAGGCTTTCTCGTGCTGCGCCTAGCGAACCTTTTCACTGCTGGGTGAATTTGGCTTGTGCCGATGATTGTCGTGTCTCAGCTCATCACGGAATGAGGAGGGCAGTAGATAACCTGAGCTTGGGCAAACTTGAATGCAAGTACCTTTGCAGTGCAAAGTCTCAAAAGCATCTCTCATGCAGACAGGTAGCCCCATCTGTTCCTAACACTGCAGCATGATACTTGTCCGGAGCCCAACCCAGGTCAGGACCTGATGCGGCACGGATCGAATCCTCTTGATTGCTGAAGGGAAAGCCGTGGGCTCAAGAGGGCGTGCCTATCAGCTCCACAGACCCATTTCGAGTGTCAATCTTGAGGACGCGATTCGCACACCTAATCCGAACGACAAACGTGCCGACGTTTGTCGTGCAACATTGAAGCCTGGGTCACAGGCCACGGATGGCAGTACAAGCAGCCATTGCATGCCAGCGTCCCGTCCATCCACTTTCCTCAACACATTTAATCTGCTTGACTTCATTCATCAAGGAGCTAGGATGCTGGGGACGTGGCCCCACTGCTCATCATTTAGGTCACCGTCCCCATCACCGATGCTGTCCCCAAATTCCTCTCAGGCATCAATCCCGGGTGTCCAGAGTTCTGCAACTCCTCGCGCCTGGGCCAGCTTGACGGGATCCGGCAGCATGAGCTCGGGCCCAATAAGCTCCGACGTTCCCACCTCGGCAGGCCCCTGTACAAACTTTGCAATCCCCTGCAGTCACATAGCTGCCAATGCTGCCAGGACTTGGACATGTGGATCGATTCGCAGAACATGCGAAGCAAACCTGGCAAAAAGAGTTCCAACCCTGCAAGACGCGGCCGCGAAACCTGTCAGCAGTCTTTCGAATGGATGCGGTTCGGCTTTGGCACTGATCTCTTGTTTAGACATGCAAAGGCGCCTGCTGGACCTGCCTGATAGACCTACATCTGAAGCTTCAAAACAAACATCTGGCCCTGCCCCTGAGACGTGCCGAATGCCGAAGCAATCGGTGCCCAACTTGTTTCCACTCAAAACTTTGCACGATGCAACCGGTCGTAGGAGATGATCTTAGGAAACTGTACACTTTATGGCGATCATCTGCTTCTGCTCGACCTGTACAACTCGAGCATCCCTGCGAGCAAAATCTTGCATGGCGAAAGCGCGAGGGTGAGAAACGGGCCGTTCCCAAGCCAAACCACCTCCCCCTTCGGCTTTAGATCTTCGCCGCAACAAAAGTTTGGCGAAACACAGCTGGCCTGGCCAACTTGGCGGCATTCTCAGTAAGCATTTCAAGCCTGGTCCTAGTACTGGTAGAGCACCGGTTGAGCACTGGTTGAGGGCAGCCCATCCGTTGAGGCTGCGGCCTGAGCAACCCGGAATCCATGCGTCTGCCTGTGCTCCTCGAATGAAGGCTTACACGCATAAAGCATGGTGGGTGGCCCCATCGCCATCTGCTCCGGAGTGTAGCCCGCCTTGCACGCTGGTCACTCGGCTTGGTCTGGGTCTGGTCGGCAGTACAGCTGTGCCAAGCTGCTGGATGCATCACAGCGCCCTGAACAACATTGACTTTGGGCTCCTGTCCCGGTGGCAGTCACGCAGCCATAACTTGAAACGAAGCTTACAGAGCTTAGTATCAAATCCTTTTGTTCCGACTTGCGTTTGAAGCACTTTTCTATCCTTCAGTCAAGCCTCGGACCTGCTGTAGGATAATCTTACTTGAGGTTCTGCTTCCAGTAACAATCTGCAGATTGCTCGCCTGTCAAAGGCCAATCAAAGATCTTCTTCTGGGAGCATGGACAGTCGCAGCTAAGACCTGCACCAATAGGAGTGCGGGCAGCGTTGGTGAGCGCGCAAAACGAGGAAGCCGCTTGAGCGAAGTCACGCTCAATTGTTCGACCCTTTGAAGCTGCAGCTTCGGGGCAAGTTGCACGATGAATCAGACAATGTTCGGCTTATGTTGTTGCTCACAGTTGTGGCTTTGAGGAAACAGGTGCATCTGCCCCGCGTAGCTGATCTGCACCTGAAAGAACACTTGCGACAAAGGAATTGTGCTGTAAGAAGGATTCTGAAATCAGAGCTGCCCCAAAAACAGGCTCCTCCTCTCCAGCAGCAAGCATGAAAGCTTCCAGGCTACAGCCGTGCATCGGTCTCTTCTGTGCTGCCTGCTCATTGTGGAATGCAGGCGAGCCATTGATCGCGTATAGGACTTGCCTGGCCCTGCCTCGGAAGCAGCAGCTGCAACAGCTTGCGCAGCATGCTGCAGCATCTACTGTACCGTCTCCGCAGCGCTCTCTGTCACACTTCTGTCACCTGTTACGCAGCTTCAGGCACATAAAACTGCTCCTCAAGCCCTCTGCATGGCTTTTGGTTGAGAGCAGACTTGAGGCGAAACAGCGGCGCTTCAGGCCAGGCAAACAGCGGTGCAGCTCAGACTGGACTGCGGACAATTACCTGCCAGCTGTACCAGGGCGGACAGTAGATATGGCCATCAGCCCCCAACACGCCGGACCTCGCTCGACCATGTGGTTCCACACTTGTGGCGTCTGTCTCTGGCAGAGACAAGCACTTTCATACAGTCATGAGCCTTCGGCTTCCACTTGCCCTCACCGTTCCCCAAATCACAGCCTAGCTACCAGCAGCTGGAAACCAGCGACAAATCCTTCTTCTTCAGGCCTGTTGCTTCCACCTGGAGCTGCTCGGGGTCGTTTGCATTTATTCGAAGAACATGAGATGCATTCCTGGCAAGACACCCTTCAGCTTGGCAGGTCTGCACAATAATTTCTGAGCAAAACACCAGGGCGGGCAGCAGAGAATGTTGCCAGGAACTGGCACCACCTCGACACCAGGGACCAATAAACACTTTGAGACATCAGCGCGAGTGCCGAAATCAGGGCCATGGCAGCCCGCCACTTACCTTCTCCGAAATCCTGCAAAGATGGGCCTGGCAGGACATTGCCCGTAACCAATTTGTCTTTGGCCGGTTGTGCCCCGCCTACGAGCTGCGAGTACCACATTTTGTTTTCATTCACACTCCTTGGCACAAAGTATTGTCAAGCTCGCACAAACTTTATGCTCCGGACGGAAATTGAGTGGAGTTCTCGGGCTCTTCTGGCTCAAACATGGCTGCCTGATGTTTCAAACTACACTCTGATTGAGTTTGTTTGCGATTGGGGCAGCGCTCAATAAATCGAAATTGTACTTGCGTTTGAGCATGATGGCGACTTTAAGCAAACGCGAGGCATCAGCATGATTACTTGTGCTTCATCTTCCCGTGAAAGGTCCACGCAGCTGCACATTTCAATCTGCAACCTTTGCCGGACAGCTGACTACTTTCGATCAAGATGACGACGAAATCTTGCTGACAGAGTCTGTGCAAGCAGCTGCTTCGAAGCCATGGGACTGTACATTATCTCCCAAGTTTCTTGGTGAAATTTGGTTATGCATCCCATTCAGCTGCAGACAGGTGTGCAGCGAGACATGCATACAGGTCAAGAAGCGTTGGGAACAGTTTCACTTTCCTGCGCCTTCGCTGTCTGATCTGTTATGGCACTATCCCAAGCTCTTCTGCAAGAAATTCTACCAGTAGCCCTCACTTAGGGTCGCCAAAAAATGCCCTTTTCAGCGCGAGTTGGGCTTGTTGCTCGAGCATTTGCCGCGCGCCGCGGGCTTCCTGCACTGAGTCGCGCAGTGGGATTGAAGGCCCTTGCGAGCTCGTAGCCGTCGTGGCCCTTTGAGCTGACTTCTTTGGACAACTCTAGCCTGTCAACAGAGTTGCAACAAAATGGAAGCAGGACTTGACGCTCGCTATTTGAGCCTGGCTTCTGCTTGTTGACTTGTATCTTGTGTTTTTTGGCCAAACGGCTTTTCTTCAAGACCTGGTCGGAGACAACCAAGTTTCCAGGTGTTCGCTGCAACTGCCAACGGCCTGCTGTTTTGGCAGACCGGCCGATGCCCGCTGCGGTTTCTCGGGTTTTGCCTCGTGGCCACGACGATTTACAAGACCAGACTCATGCATTTATACCCTTCTGATTTTCCACGGGATTGTTGACAGCTGGCAAGCCAGCTCCGCGTGCACTCAGTGTCAAGCTAGACGGCGGGCTTCGAGAGGGATTGGGTGAGGTCACCTCGTGATGATCTGTGTGCAACGCTTGGTGCTGTGCTGTCAAACTGCCTTACATGCTTATAGGCCACCATCCCTGCGTGGATCCGCAGCAGTGCTTTGTAATGCACAGTTCACGTCTTCGTGCCTCCGAAGCGTGGGATAGAATGCTCCTGCATCCGCAGTTTCAGCTGACCATGCAACCACTTTCACAAATTGTGCAGTGTCAACAAGGAAGGACACCACGAGCACATTGCAATCGAAGCACATAGAAACCAAATGCACCATTTCATTAGCTGGATCCGCTTTCGTGGTCAGCTCCGTAAAAAGCGCTGTCTCACTTGATACAAATTTTCTCCCATCCCCCTATCGCAGCTCAATGTCCAAACATGTCCAACCCATTTTTTCTCAAATGCACCTACCTGCATTTAAGTCTCCATCTATAGCAGCCCAGCAAAAATAACGTGATTTAGCGTTTAGCTCATTCTTTGAGCTGCAAAACCCTTTGGCCGTCGCATATGACGAGTGAGCCGGACACTGGCTAATTCCCCAATAGCCACCAGGTT